TGAGGCAGTATACCAAAGAAACCAATGTCAATGCAGTAAAATCTACGGGCGATGGGGATTGTCTCTTCAATGCAGTCTCAACGCTGCTGATAGGGTGCGAATCTCTTTCAGTAGAGTTGAGATATCGCACTTGTTTGGAGATGGTTCCGAACCACGCAAACATGGGTACCGCCTGACGATACCCATGGAGGGTTGAAATAGTTATTTATAGACTGACGGCCATCTTATATAATAATACAGTAGTTAACTATATATAATGATTAAAATATACACAACAAAATACCTGTTTTTCTTATTTTAACTTCGTCCTCTTGGAAACCCACTGCAAAGCAAAAGAAGATGATTAATCTGGATAGCAATTTATCAGTTGTAAAGGGAGATAACTGCGCAAACATTTCATTTTTCTGCAAATTATAGAATATTCGCTGCAGTAATTATACTAATGTGCTGCTATTTGAAAATATTAGGTTGTTAATTGATAAAATTGGGTAGTATGTGGTAGTATTTGGTAGTATTGGGTTAGTTTTTACTTGTTTTGGTTGATATAGGGAGGCAAATGGAACAGCCAGAGATTGGTAATCGCATTTAAAGTACAATTCCCGCGCTATAACTAATTATTTTTAAAAAAAATTCAATTGATATGCACAGTTTACATCATTATGTTGGAGTATTAGGTAGTATGTGGCTATATTGTAGTGGTATTGGGGTGGTATTGGGGTGGTATTGGGTAGTATTGGGTAAATAGTCCCACCCTATTAGATGTGCTGTTCGATAAATGTGAAAATTATTTACACTATGAGAGGTACATTGTATGAATAAATTATACATAAAAAATATGTATATATATATATATATAAAATATATATTATTATGAACTGTATTTGCTCGAAGATAGGTATGAATAGTATTATACAAAATATATGTACATGGATCAACAAGGAAGCTGATGACATAGATCTATAAAATATGGATGGATAAGAAACATTAAATTAGGAAGCACTTAAACATGCATTATGCAAGATGTAAATCTGGATATTGCAGGTCTTTCTTTAGGCCTGAAATCGTAAAAGATCCCTTGGCAGTTGGAATTCGATATAAGAGTAGGCCGTAGCGCCGCTGCCCGGGCAAAATTTCCCTCATAGCACACTGTATGGCGTATGCCCGTCTTCAATTAGCCCAGGTTAGGTGCAGAAGAGTAGGACGTTAAACCCCATTTCATTTCATTTCATTTTTAGGCCTGAAATGTTTTCTAAAGTATTAATTAGACATTAATTAACTGATCCAGGCCTTAATCAACTCTCAAGGGCATAAGATTTATCCGATATTAAATAGATTAGAATGGTTCAGCGATACTTTGATTTAATTGAATATGGAGGACTGAGACCTAGCTTCGATCAACCAGTACGGTGATTGAAATTATTGCACATGTCTGTCAAACCTTCAAAGGCTAATATCTTCGCTTGCAATAGAGTAATTTGAATGAAATTTTCAAATTATTCATTTTACATCATCTACTATTATAGCAAGAATGGCTAGTTCTTTAGCTAAATCTTACATAATGTATCTTGAAATATCTATAAATATGCTTACGAAACATGTTGATTGAGCTTATATTTTTAATATTATTTGGCAATGAATTCCATAACTGAGATCCACTGAATTTTATACTATTTTTAACAACAGAAAGCTGTGGTCTGAGAACAATTAGTCTGTTATTAATATTACTATAGGGTGTATTATAAAATGGAAGAACATTAGTTAAATACTCCGGGCAACGATGATAAATTATTTTGTGAAGGTAGGAGAACATATTTAATAAATGCCTTTCCTTAATTTTTAATAAGTTGAGATCCGCAATGCCAGGAGATAAATCTTTTGTGTGCTCTATATCTAGAATAAGTTTGAATGCTCGGTTTTGTTGTCGTTGGAGAGTATTAACAGATATAATATCGAAGTTTTCCCATATAGGTGAACAATATTGATCGGAATTTACATGGAATGAATTCTTTCAGTTTACGTAATTGAAATATTTTTTGATTGATAATTTGTTAAATATAATTTGCATGATCGTTCCATTGCAGATGATTATCGACCTGAACACCGAGCAATTTGAAAGTTGGAACATTTTCAATCGCACAGTTGTTAAGGTTTATCAATAAATCTGGTGTTAAGTCGTTTTCTTTTCTGCTTATTAGTTATTAGCATGCATTTAATTTTTAATTCGTTGACCATCATCGAGTTGAGTAAGATATCAGTATCACGTTGTAATTTAATTTGAAGATCATTTAAATTGGTAGCTGACGAATAGACTGTTGTATCATCCGCAAATTAATCACAGAATGACTCTAGATGGAGAGGAGATTTTTTATTAAAATATTAAATAACCCGTCTTTTTGACAGCTGCCAAAAACGAAAAATGGCTCTATTCATTTTCTTTGTTTTGTGGGATGAAGGGATGAAGATCTCATATTATTTTTCATAAACTACATTGACAGAAGCGGCAAAGTCTACTCATTGCTAATTCATAATATTTTGTCTATTTCTTTTACAAATCGCTTTACTGATTATACAAATACGTCTCGATTCGAAAGGACCTTTTTTGTACACCAAGGAAAACGATGAAAAAAATACAAGTTCTACTCAACCGATTTTAACAAACTTGACGTCAAATTGAAGCTTACATGTGGAGGAATATTTCTATGGGACAAATTGTAATTGTATGAAATAGATTTTATTTCAGACCAGTTTACATAACGACCTATCAAATATTTTTATTTTCTGGAATTCTGGCCTTATTATTGGCACCATGAAAAAATACTCCTGTAATTTTATTAGGCACTAGCTTAGCTATATTTGCATGCCAAAAATTATTTAATTCGGATGAGCCAAAACTGAGAACTTTTCAGATTTATGACGGAAATTGATCATTTTTAAGCTGATTTCAAAATTTTAAAATCACAAGAGATATGTGCCCAAACTATGACGTGAATTGCAGCTTCAGATGTCTATTTAAAGATCATACCAATTTATGTAGAGCAGAGTTTAATTATTAATATAAAATTAATTGCAAAGTTACCATAGGTTAGACATGGCAACACCCTTAAGAGATTTATTAACTTCATTAATAGTTATAAAAGGGTGATCAAATTCAGTTGTCACAGGCATATTTAAGTTGATAAGATTACGTAGAATGTTGTCAGTTTCAATATTATTATTTTGCTTATTAGTGTTGGACTTTCATAAATTATTGGCAATATTGGTAAAATATTCATTGAAAGTTTCAGAGTCAATTGGGTAAGATTGAGAAGAATAATTTGGATCATTTACGGAAGTTTTTATGGCAGACCAGATCTGTTTTGGATTACGGCTGTCAGTGACAAGGCTGTTTATATATGAACATTTAGATTTTCATATTAGACTTTTCACAAGATTCCGGTTGCTTTTCTTTTTGTAATAGTATCGATTTTGCATAGTTTTAAGTATTTCATTACTTAACCACGGTGGTTTAATAGCACATTTAACCCGTTTTGATCTCAGTGGAGCATGCTTGTTAATTATAGGGGTTATAATCTGATACCATATATCCAGAGATATATCAGGTTCATCAGAGCTTAAAATATTGTCAAATGGGGCCAACATTAGATCGTTCACATAGTCTGTATGGTTTGAGTGATCGATATTTGATAGATAAATATGTCTAGGTTTTGGAATCTTAATGACGTTTTTACGCCATGTAAAACAGGTTGAGATGAAGAAGCCTGTTGATTTTCAACGATTTCCAACAATTTCAGCACGCGTTTTGACCCTTGATCACTTTACAATATTTTGTGTGTGCTTTAGAGGCTAAAGATATCGATTCCTTTAGATATTGGCATGTATCAGACCATAACTTCATGAATTATGGCCCCTGATTTTACAAAAAACCACTTTATAGCTTGTGAACTCTTTAGAAATCACAATTTTTATCCGATTTTGATGAAACTTGATATCTATATTTATAACCCACCGATCTTGGTTTCTATCGGAACGTAACTTCCTGGAGTATGGCCCCTGATTGTGTGAAAATGGCAGACTCAATTTGCATATTTAGAAAAATGCTCATGGGTGCTCGGAATGCATCACATAGTTTCTGGTTCTACACATCTCGAAAATATAGAAACTGCAAAAATATTCTAATATGCAATTGAAAGGTTCTCCCAAAAATTGCCCTTTTACTAATGCTGCCTGAAGATAAGCTGATGCAGGTAGAGAGAGTAGACAAGAATAGATATTTTGAAATCCCCACTCATCAAATGTGCAAAGAGACTTGATGTAGTGGGTAATAAGATTAAATAACCCTGTACCGTCTTTATCGTAGATGATAGTTTCAGAATAAAACAGGATAATCGTCAATCTTTCTCTTTAATTGGCCTGGAATAGCAGAGTGTCACAAGTGTTATTTTTTGGGGGGCCACTGGAAGTCATCATACTGGTTCTCTAAATCACTAAGCAGGATTTATTATTCTCCACATCTGCTTCTGCTAAGATAATGAGGCATTTCAATTTGTTCTCATATGCCTTTGCCCCATCTTTACAAGAGTATGAATCGTTTATGATATATCCAGTTAAGAATTTACCTCCTAAGTTCATTCAGGAATGGGAAGCTATGGTGACTCAGTCAGTAATGAACTATTAATTTTCCCTGTTCTACATCCATCTATTGCAAAATGTAGGCCAAAACTTGCATGGCCAAAACTTGTATAATAAGGAAGTATTTGGTCATATATCATTTGTCTTGCGAGATCTGTACGATGCATTCTTTTGATTACATTTTGCTATCTGCCATACTCATTATGAAATAAATCTGGGCAGTGTGATATAGCTCTCAAGGTAATCACATTTACTGAATGAACAGGTACATTTCTGTGGACCACTCCACCATTCCTGTACATACTCCACCATTCCTGTACATACTCCACCATACTCATATTCTAGTATAATAAATCTTTCTTTATTGTCAGAGAACATAGAAGATCTCTATGCATTCCATTTCACAGCACCTGGAACTATTCTCAAATCATATGGTTGGAGTAATTTTGATTTACTATCAGAATATTTACGTATGGGAGCTCCAAATGAGCACTGGGTGTTATCTAATCTTAACACAAAATATGAGGTAAGTCAATGTCTACAATATCTACAAAGTTTTAAAGTAGCTAAATCTCTAACTCAATATCATCCAAAGTCTTCAACATTGAAAACGCAAATTATTTGTCAATTTAAATCAACATTGATGGTGTGCTCCTACTAGGAAAAGATGGGCTTCTGATATCCAATATTTAAGACAAAATATCTGGAGAGCATGTGCAATAAATACTATCGGTGTAGACAAGAATAACCAGATTTCTGGCGTATTTCGCCTAACATGACTGATTAGAAATTAAGAGTAAAAATGTAGCGATTGAATGTAAATCAATTTATATACATTCATACATGTATTACATTATTATATGCATTGTGACCCCCATTTGTGTCAATTTCTATGTCCCAAATAGTAACGATTTAGCTCCTTTAGATCTATACTAATATTTGTGACTGTCGTTTGTCTGTCTGTTCGGGGTTGGCGGCTACACTAGGTCTGCCCCGAGTCTGAAATTTGGGGTATAGGGGTAGCTCGGACCGGGGAGTAACATAGGCCAGGTGGCGTTAGTCTACCACTTCCAGTTTTGGAGTTATGACCCCCGAGCGAAGCCGGGCATTTTTCTAGTAACAATATAAAAGAGACTAGACTACAACTACAGTATCATGTTTCTTGTGTATGCTCTAATGCCAAAAGTTATCATCCAGTTGTTTTAAAATTGATATATGTTGTTTGCATTAGTGAGTTGAAGAAGCCTATTTAATTTCAACAATTTCCGTTTATTATGTCTAGAGTTATGGCCCTTGTTTCACTTTGTTGAACCTTGTTACCATCCGATCTTTCTGAAATTTATATGCATTATTTAGATAGGTGAAACGAAGAAGCCTATTGAATTTCAGCAATTTCCGTTTATTACATCTAGAGTTTGGCCGTTGTTTCACTTTGTTGAACCTTGTGAATGCTCTAAAGCCAAAAGTTTCCCTCGTTAAAACATCTAATCTTTGTGAAATTTATATGCAATATTTAAATTAGGGAAACGAAGAAGCCTATTGAATTTCGGCAATTTTCGTTTATTACTTCTAGAGTTATGGCCCTTGTTTCACTTTATTGAACCTTGTGAATGCTCTAACATCAAAAGTTATCTGCCGATCTGTATGAAATTTGCATGCATCATTTAAATTAGTAAAGAGAAGAATCCTGTTGAATTTCAGCAATTCCCAGTTATTACTTCTGGAGTTATGGCCCTTGTTTCACTTGGTTCTACCTTGTTAATGCTCGATTGATGAAAATTATCATCCAATATGTATGAAATTTATATGCATCATTTAAATTTGTGAAACAGGTCTATTGAATTTCAGCAATTTCTGTCAATAATTTCTAGAGTTATGGCGTTTGTGAACCTTGTGACAAAAGTGATTGTCTAATCTGTATGAAATTTATATCCATTATTTAAATTAGTAAAACTAAAAAGCCTGTTAAATTTCAACAATTTCTGTAGATCACTTCCAGAGTTGAGACCCTTTTTATACGCCCACATTGAAATGTGCTCGTAAATTGTCGTCGCCCCTGTCCGTCCGTCCGTCAGTCGGTCCAGCGTCCACAAGCAATTGTGGAGGCTCTAGAGGCTAAAGTTAATATGAGACGAAGAAGCCTATTGATTTTCAGCGATTTCCATAATGCCAGAGTTATGGCCCTTGATCACTTCAAAAAATCTTGTGGGCGCTCTAGAGGCCAAAGTTAATATCTGATTGACTTTAAATTTATACACAGTGTTTAAGGTCACGAGACGAAGAATCCTATTGATTTTCAAAGATTTCTGATAATTACTGCCCTTGAATGCCTTGATCACTTCAAAAAATCTTGTGGATGCTCTAGAGGTTAAAGTTAATATCCGATTGACTTTAAATTTATACACAGTGTTTGAGGTCATGAGGCAAAGAATCCTATTGATTTTCAACGATTTCCGATAATTACTGCCAAAGTTATGGAACTTGATCTCTTTGAAAAATCTTGTGATGCTCTAGAGGCGAAAGTTATCATCTGATTGACTTCAGATTGATAATTACTTCATGAGTTGTTACTCTTAATCAGATTTTAGTGTATTATAAATGTTTCATTACCAAAAAAAGTAAAAAATATGCGACAACACTTGTTGACTGCCCGGACGATTTGCCTGGCAACCTATCTTTAAATTATCCATAAAAAAGCTCTTCTAAAATTACAACAGCTGAAAATTCAGAACAATGTCCAAAAATAAAGTTTATGTATAATTTACCAAGGAAATTTGACAAAAGAAAACAATTTTGTCAAACAAAATGTTTATAAATATAATTTTTAGCGTAAATAAGGTGGGATGTGAGAAAGGAATTCCAAGGGACGCGATTGGTTGTTCTCTCTATTAATAATAGAATAGTGTTATTTACAGGTTTGATATTCAATTTTATACAGATATATTAGAACTTGAATTCTACACATTTCTTAACGACAGGGTCATTGGCCTTTATATTAAATTTAAAGCATGATATCTTACATATATTTTACTTGGAGAAATCCACGTCAATTTGGATTATGGGATTGCATGAATCTTTAGTTAAAGACCGAAAGCTCATTCGGCGATTCATGCAAACTTCTAATCCCGCTGATGTCGAAGAAATAAAACTGTTTTATACTACGATATTAATATGGATTAAAATAAGGACAAAAACAATTTAATCGTGTTTGTGTATTACATGGATATTGTGGGAACTAGAAAATTATAAGTTACAGGTTAATTGCTGAAGCGACATTTCGAGACCTATGTAAATTCTTTTTTTTTTTTTTTAAAAAAAACATTTAGAAAAAAACACACACACTCATTATGCTAGATAGAAAATCGCGTGAGAAGCTCAATACCACTACACACGTGATCAAGCGAAAGGTTTGAAAACTTTTCTGATTGGATATATTTTCTTTCTTTTTCTAAAAGCCCACATTGAAATGTTGTTGTATATTGTCGCCGTCCCAGTCCGACCATCATTCCGTCTGTCCATCATCCGTCTTGGGTCTGCAATTGCTTGTGGACGCTCTAGAGGCTAAAGTTAATATCTGATTGACTTTAAATTTATACACAGTGTTTAAGGTCATGAGACGAAGCCTATTGATATTTAGCGATTTCCGGTAATTACTGGCATAGTTATGACCCTTGATCAATTTGAAAACCTTGTGGACGCTCAAGAGGCTAAAGTTAATATTCAATTGACTTTAAATTTATACACAGTGTTTAGGGTCATGAGAGGAACAAGCCTATTGATTTTTAGCAATTTCCGATAATTACTGCCATGGTTATGGCGGATGGACCTTGATCACTTTAAAAATCTTGTGGATAATAGACATGTCATGTGACTTTATAATACATGTAATCAAAAAAGAAGCGAACGAAGGCATCCACTTTTCAATTGTCGATGATGCTGACAATAATGTAGTAATGCCTCTAGGGTGCTTCTTCTAAGGTATTCTCCATTTATTGATCATGTGAAAACTAAATTAACCATCAGTTGCTGATTTGATTGGATTTAAGCACACTTGCTACTGGTTGAAACAAGTTGTTCCCAGTTGCAAAGTTGACACAAGTCCCACTTAATATCATGTATATTCACTGTTAGTTTAAAATTTTGGATCAAAATCCCAGGGATAAAATGACCACACAAGGGTTCTTTTGAAAATAGTTTATTATCTTTACTAAGGCCAAAGTATAAACCTTGCAAATATACAAATAATACCATAAGTATAATGTATAAAAACAGAATAGATCATACACTATTTAAAAGAAATAATAATATCAAACAATGTGTAGAGTCTAACTTTACTCTTTGCACTTGCATGGTCTATGCTCTACTCCAAAAAGTATGAAATATAGTTATACTAAACTGTTAGTCTAACATGAAAACAAACTTTTTTAATTTGGAATTCATTTGCATTCAGTTGGCATTGCCCTAAATTTTACATCTCATATTCAATGTTTCAGCTTTGTGACACTTACTCAAAAAATGTGTATGTACCTGCAGTTGCTTCAACTCCAGTTCTTTTAGGCAGTTCAAAATTTAGGAGTCGTGGACGATTTCCAGTCTTGTCTTACTTGCACAGAGAAAATCAGGTAGATTCTTTCAGTCTATTTAAAGGGCCAATCTCGATTATATTTTGGAGAATAAAACTGCTTAATTTTGTGGTAAAAGGCCTTAAAAGCCTCTACCTTAGTTCCAAGTAACTAACTCAATATACGTGATACATTTTCAAATAACTTAACCTGTCAGTCTCCATCTGGAAATGGAGACCGGTGTCCCAAACTGAATTATATAGTGTCTGTATAAAACCAGACTTTTATTTTATAAAAATAACATGTAGGTGAAATTTACCTTTCGTTATCAAATACGGCACATGGGTCATGCACTGTATCCGCATCTAACAGAATGGCAATAGATTATCAGGTCAGCCAACAAAAAAATTGACCCAAAATCTATAAAAGGGTGACGTGTCCGGATAAGCGACTCAATATTTTGAGCTGAAATTTTGAGACAAGGTAAATACATCATTCCTCTATATTTTGGCGCTTTAATTTCATACGTACACAGACTTTTATTTCTGAGTCTCTGTTAAAATCAGGATGGTCCCTTTAAGGCGCAATCACCTTTTGGAGGTCCGTTAAGTTTGTGAAAAAAATATGTTCTATTTGAAGTGATTTATAGACCAATAAATCTAGATTTCTACTTGGAATGAATTTGCTTATATCATTACAGGCCCGGGACTATACAGTGCAGTGGCAGCTTATGGCTGATCCATCCACTTAAAGTTGATTTTGATACTTGTATTTTAGTTTATCTTGTCCACAATTTTCACTTATGGGTTATGTTTTGCGTGTAGTGCAGTCCTCCTGCACTTACTATTAAGATATAGGGGTTTTATGATAAAAAAAAAACGATACCTTTTTAAGATCAAACTACAAATGTAGCTATGTAGCAAAAATTAAATTTGATGGATTACTATAGATTCTCATGAAAATAACCAATGATTTCAGGCATCCATAACCAGGTGTAGCCAGCCTTTAGCTGGCTTTAGTGCTAGGTGTGTTGAAGATGAACAAATGTTGCAAGCTGTATTAAGATCCAACCCCAAATCACAGTTCATGTATGTCGTAGATACGCGACCAAAGGTAAGACATAATCAATATGAGCAAACAGTAGTATTAGTAAACAAAAATGTTAGGCAAAATTACTGAAATTTATATTAGCTCACCAAAGTGGGCATAAACTCTGGAACCGAAGTGGAAAGGATTCGTCCTCACATAACTCCAATATTTCACAAGCCAATTGTCGATTGATGGACTTGCTTATTCCACAAAATTATCCAATTTGGCAGTGCTCATGTTCTCTTCGCTAGTAGGATTTTCCATTTTGTATACACTCACATTGTGGGCGTATTATGTTGTCACACTGCAGTCTGTCTATCCTTCACCAATTGGCTTGTAAACACGATAGAGGCTACCGAGTTTGGTTTCATGTGAATACAAAACGGTCAAAACTTGTGTATGTGTTTATTAGGTAAATGCCTTGATGGAGTCTGATGAAGCGCATTTTCCACTAACGTTAACCAATTTGATTAGGTTGAGACTTTGGAACGAGAAAACTTTGATACAAATTGGGTGAGAGAGGTGAAACTCAAAGTATAGTTTCATGACATCAATGAGAATTTTCTGCTTAGGCTAAGTAGTGAAGGGATTTTAATTGAGATTGAATTTTGAAACTGGGTGTATAGATGCTCATTAGGTGAATATCTTGACTGAGCTAAGCAGAGCTAAGCAATTTCATTGGTCAATTATTGGATGAGCCATGGCAACCGCTTTATCCAATTAGGTGAGAAGCATTAGGTTCGTGATCGTACAAAGTCTATTGATACTCAGCGTTACGCAATTGTCCGTTCTGGAGTTACTCCTTTCTCCCGATAGAGGCTGCAGTTTTTATACACCCACCTTTTAATGTGGACGGTAAGATTGAAGGACAAGAATATTAAAATGTTTTAACTGTATCTTCATTTCAGATTAATGCTATGGCTAATAAAGCAGCAGGAAAAGGCTATGAAAATGAAAGCTTTTATTCCAATATGAAATTCCAATTTCTAGGTATAGAAAATATTCATGTTATGAGATCAAGCTTACAGAAACTTTTAGAAGGTAAGGAAATGATGTTTTATATGCCAACATTTCAGTATAGGTGTTTTATGTTCTCTGTCTATCTGTCAACAATTGGATGGTAAAAGTGATAGAGACAAGGTTTTCTATGCCCACATTGGAAATGTAATATATTGTTGTTGTACCTGTCCGTCCGTCATCCAGACTACACTCGACAGACGACATTTATCATCTGATCATTTTGAAATTTATTGTTTACATTACTGAGACGAAGCAGCCTATTTAATTTCACCAATTTCTGTTCATTTCTTCTAGAGTTATGGTCCTTGTTTCACTTTCTAGAACCTTGTGAAAACTCTAACAACTAAAGTTATCTTCAAATCTATATGGAATTTATGTGCATTATTATACTGTACCGTCTAAATGATTTTGTCTAGTGGGCTGCACGGACAAGTTAGTTTGTGGTCAGGCAACCTATTTTTTAAAAGATTTTGGGTTGTGTTCAAGAGAAGGTGAAACTATCGATTTTCAGCATTGTGCAGCATCCCTCGTTTCCACAAACCCTGTTAATGCAATAAAGGTTACAGTTATACACTCACATTTCAGTGTTGGCATATTATGTCGTCACCCATAATGAAGGTTGAATCCGAATTTCGGGAAAATCAAAACATAACTGCCCGACAAAATGTCCGGCCTCTGTATGCAAATTGTGTAAAAGTATGTAATACGAAGGTTGTGGACCCTCTAGAAGTAACAATTTTTATCCGATTTTGATGAAACTTAAAATTTATCTTTATATCCCAAAGATCTCACTTCCTTTCAATATTTGCGCATTTCAAACCATAACTTTCTGGATTATGGCCCCTGATTGTACGAAAAAACGCTTTTGTATTTAGGTTGTTCTCTATCCATCTCTTGCAAAATGTGGGCTTATCTTGCTTGGATACTGCTGGTTATCCAATTTTGATGAAACTTGAAATATAGGTTTATATCCCAAAGATATTGGTCCCTGTTGAGATTGTAACTTCATGGATTATGGACCCTGATTGTACGAATAATCACGTTTTTAGCTTGTGGACCCTATCCATCTCTTGCAAAATGTGGGCTTATCTTGCTTGGATACTGCTGGTTATCCAATTTTGATGAAACTTGAAATATAGGTTTATATCCCAAAGATATTGGTCCCTGTTGAGATTGTAACTTCATGGATTATGGACCCTGATTGTACGAATAATCACGTTTTTAGCTTGTGGACCCTCTAGAGGTCACAATTTTTATCCTATGTTGATGAAACTTAAAAAAATGTATGTTTATATCCCGAAGATCTTGGTTCTGTTTAATATTGGCGCCTATTGGATCCTATCATCCTGGATTACTAGAAATAGCCTACGAATAAATAATCATAAAATACAATTGTTTTCAGTATGTGAATTGAAAAATCCATCTATGAATGCCTTTCTTAGTGGTTTGGAGAATACTGGTTGGTTAAAACATATACGATCTGTATTAGAAACATCAGTATTTATAGCCCAGGTAAGACATTTTCCTTCCTAGTCTGGAGGGGTCAAATTTTGCTAATAGTACTTATGTACAACAGAGTACAAATGTAGATACCCCGGCCCCTATCAATCATTTATATCAGTTAGTTACCTTTTTATGTGGACGCAATAATATTGTCATCGCCCCTGTCCATCCGTCCACAATTTGTTTGTGGACACTCTACAGTTCCCAATTTTTATGTGCCCACATTTTCATTAATAGAATACAATATCAAAAAACCATCGTTTTATCCAACGTTTCGTCAGTAAAAATACTAACATCCCTGAAAAAAGTATTTTTATGCTGAAGAAGTAAGTATTTTTACTGACGAAACATTGAATAAAACAATGGTTTTTATACGCCCACATTGAAATGTGGTCGTATATTGTCGTCACCCCCGTCCGTCCGTCGTTCTGGCATCCACAATTGCTTGTGGAGGCTCTTGAGGCTAAAGTTAATATCCGATTCACTTTAAATTTATACACAGTATTTAAGGTCATGAGACAAAGAAGCCTATTGATTTTCAAGGTCGTGATGAAGAATGCTATTGATTTTCAACGATTTCCGATAATTACTGCCATAGTTATGGCCCTTGATCACTTCAAAAAGAGGCTAAAGTTAATATCTGATTGACTTAAAATTTATACACAGTGTTTAAGGTCATGAGACAAAGAAGTCTATTGATTTTCAGCGATTTCCAATAATTACTGCCAGAGTTATGGCCAGTGATCACTTTGACGCTATAGAGGCTTCTGTTATCATCCGATTGACTTCAGATTGATACACTGAGTTTAAGGTCTTGAAAGAACAAGTATATTGATTTTCAATGAATTTTGATAACTTGAGCAGCTAAATCCATGATATTAAATATTTTGTATAATAAACGTTAGCATGGGGCAGAAATTTATAAAAACCAAACAAATTCTAATGATTTTCTGATAATTACTTAATGAGTTGTTACTCTTAATCAGATTTTAGTGTATTATAAATGATTCATTACTGAAAAAGTAAAAATATGCGACAACTCTTGTTGACTGTCCGGATGATTTAGCTGCTGTGGGCGTATGTTTCGTTGCGTGGCAACCTATCTTTTGATATTGTATTCTATTAACTTATCTGAATATCAAAGGCATCATTTTGACTTAGTCAAAATTGATCCCATCAAACCGTTTGTAATTGGCATATAACTTCATTGATTATGGCTCCTAGAGGTCACAATGTTCATCTGATTTTGATGAAACTTGAAATGCATGTTTATAACTAAAAGATCTTGGTTCCTTTCAATATTTGCGCATATCGGATCGTAACTTCCTGAATTATGGCCCCGGATTGTACGAAAAATCACGGTTTTAGTTTGTGGTCCCTCTAGATGTCACAATTATTATCCAATTTATAAAACCTTTTGAATATATCACCATTACACTGTAATGATGCTTGAGTTTAAATTTCGTGAAAATCGGACCAAATCTGCCAGACAAAATGGTCACCCCTCGTACGCGATTGGTGTAAAAATATGGTATATCAAGGTTGTGGACCCTCTAGATGTCATAATTTTGATCGATTTTCATGAAACTTGAAATTCATGTTTATATCCCAAAGATCTTGGTTTCTTTCAAAATTTGCGCATATTGGATCGTAACTTCCTGAATTATGGCCCTTGATTGTACGAAAGATCATGTTTTTAGCTTGTGGTCACTCTAGAGGTAACAATTTTTATCCGATTTAAAAAAACGTTTGAATATATCACCGTTACACCCAAATGATGGTTGAATTCGAATTTCATGAACAAACGGACAAAAACTGCTGGACAAAATTGCCGCCCCTCGTACGCAAATAGTGTAAATATACATGTATGGTATATCAAGGTTGTGGACCATCTAGAGGCCACAATTTTTATCCGATTTTGATGAAACCTGAAATACATATTTATAACCCACAGATCTTGGTTCCTGTCGATATCTGCGCATATCAGATCGTAACTTCAGGAATTATGTCCCTTGATTATACGAAAAATCATGTTTTTAGCTTCTGGTCCCTCTAGAGATAACAATTTTTATTCGATTTAAAAAAACGTTTGAATATATCACCGCTTTACCCTAATGATGGTAAGAGTTCGAATTTCATGCAAAATCAGACAAAAACTGCCGGACATAATGGCCACCCCTCATACGCCAATGTATTTATGGTATATCAAGGCTGTGGACCCTCTAGAGACCACAATTTTGATCCAATTTGATGAAACTTAAAATACATGTTTATGACCCAAAGATCTTTTCATATTCATGCATATCGGATCTCTCAATTTTCAACGATTTCCAATGATTATGGCAATTGCTATTACTTGGAAATATTTGGTATGCTAAATATTAGAATAGGACACAACTACATGTAGAAGCCAAATGGGTTATTACTCGTAATCAGATTTGAGTGTGTTGTAAATGTTTTCTTTTCTGACAAAAGAAACAAATATGTGACAACCCTTGTCAACTCCACGGATGTTTTAGCTGCTGTGGGCGTATGTTTCATTGCCTGGCAACCTATCTTTATACGATTTATCACCGTTACACCACAATGACAGTTGAGTTCAAGTTTCATGAAAATCGGACTGAAACTGCCTGACAAAATGGCCGCTCAACGTACACAAATAGTGTAAAAGTATGTAATACCAGGTTGTGGACCCTCTTGAGGTCACAATTTTGTTCTGATTTTCATGAATCTTAAAATATATGTTTATATCCAAAAGATCTGGGTTCCTGTCGATACTTGTGGATATTGTACCTTAAAATTCCTGATATAATAACCCCTGATTGAATGAAAAATTGCTTCTTTTTTTTTTAGTTTGTTCTCTATCCATGTCTTGCAAAATGTTTGCGTATCTTGCATAGGAACCGCATGTTAAAAGGAATCATTGATTTTCTTATTTTAATAAACCAGAAAAATGAATAATGGCAACTATATTGAGAGTACCGATAAACTGATTATCAATGTGTCATCGCTATTTAACTTTACTAATGGACACGTTTTGAGACAACACTGATGTTTATAGTTTAATTTAGTGACCGTTTTAACTTGCCCCTTACGATTTTTACTGTTCTGGTGTAGGGGTTTCATTAATTATTACTGTAGGTGGGTAAAATATCAAAGTAAGTGTTCTTTTTCTATGAGCTGCGGTCGCTCAAATTGAGAGCCATGAACGTGAACTAACGATTTTATACCACTTTCAATATAAGGGTAACTTTGTCTTTCAATCTATCGGGTAAACGTAAAGGTAAAACTAGTGAAAAGGATTGAAAACTCAGCAACCGAGCGTGCAATTTAATGCAGGCGTGGAAAACGGATAGATCTAACTGTCAACGATCCCTTTACTTTGGTGTCAGCTAGCTTTGTTATTTTCGCTGACAAGAAATGATCATACTTCGCAGTTTAACGTCAAAGCGCCATCACCTAAATACGAGGAGTTATGCCTCCTCGTACCTTTTTTCAAAAGGAGATACAGAATACCGCCTTTTGCTTGATTGTCACATTATACTTTTTAACTTGTCTATTTTACAGGATACGTGATAAACAGAATTGTCTCCCTTTGAGTAGAAATCATGCTCCTCCATATTTCCTTGATATTTTATCTGAACATAGTATGCTAGTTTCCAGGGTTATCGCCCAGCTCTACATCCTTCTATTTATGTGTCTTTGTTGAATGAGTAGCTCCTTTCAACAAGAGAGGGTAAAAGTTTTTTAGCGAGAAAATATCTTTCGTCCAAGTGGTGGTTGACTGTCATATAATTAAACTGTTTGGTACTAACGCGAACCTAAATATATTAAACCCCTTGGGCGCAATGTTGAATTACACAGTATTAAACATTCCAAAACCCTACTACATCATGGAATCAACGACAAATCTAAACTTTGACACTCCAACCGGGTGTTACAACTTTGGAGTGTGTGAAATAGCTATATAAGAGATAAGTTCATGTGTCATTAGTTAACAAGTATCTTAAATATTTTTCACTTATCTTACATTCAAAATTTACTTATGAATCAATCAAATATATGGTTACTATTATTGTAATGATATTTATCACGCCAATTACAACACTCAAGTTTGTGTACGATTTATTTCTAAGATGAAAATACAGAAGAGTGGAACATCACAAAGGTGATCTAAGAATCAAACTGTTGACTGGAGTAAAAGTGCTAATGGCATCCTACAGTCTGAACCTTCCTATCTTTTAAACGGATTTCTTCGATTATGAACAAACTATGTAACTTTGGATATTATAAACTTACCTGTGTGTTTGAAGTCAACTCCGGTTAAATAAAATCCATTGCACAACTGAATATCCCAATGAATAAGAAAGTTCTCTCTTGAAAAATTTGACGTGTTTACTTATATTTTCGACTGAGTTCAAGACAACACTGCTTTCGTCACGTGTTGGGTGAAACCAATGAGTTTGTTGCGGGGGTGGTTTAACTTGACAGAGAGTTGGACAACCACGTGTTGCAATGAAAACAAACCGCGATTGTTTTGATCGTTTCAGTTTGGGCGACGAAAATTATCAATTGAAGGCAATTACATAGACGATTTATATTGAAACCATTGATGGCCAGTGTACCAAATTTTATTCACAATGAAAATATTAATGATGGCACGAATGCTCGTAAAAATAAAGTCATATATAAACTAAATCTTTCCTACAACATGGGTACAATTTTAAAGCCTGTTAAACGAATGTCATTATTTTTGTGCTCATTTGTGTTCAAAAGAAAATTCTCCCATCTGGCTAATCAAATAATTAAAACAAAATATTTCAAAAGAAAATCTATAAACAGGGATTTTACTAGAATGTAAAAAGATGGTAACAAAATAAAGGGATACGGACAGTTATATGTGTGAACGCCCAAACTCAATACCCAGCTGAGACTGATAGCTTATACCTTCAATTGTAAATGTACCGCAAACCGTTTCGATGTGGCACACTGTCACCCCTTTATACAAAATGATTACCCAATGTCAAAAGCTTGTGAGAGTTCAATTTTTCAAGAGAAATCTTTTTTATTCGTTCGGATATTTAATTGTGCAGTGGATTTTATTTAACAGGAGTTGATTTCAAACACACAGGTAAGTTTATGATAACCAAAGTTAAATATTTTGTGTAAGACTTTTGTAGAATATTTGCTCTTTAAATTAAGGATAGCATTATATTGTATTAATTAATATCTCTGGCAAGTTAGTAGTTTCACATATTTGTACTTAAATCAAGTTAGCGAATGATTGACAGATGGCTACATAAAAAAAAGTCATAATGTGGTAAACATTCAATTCTAGGTTGATAACAGATATCTCATGGGAAGTTTCTCCAGTTCATTTGCACTATCTATATAAGGGTGGGTTCCGACGTCATTTGGCTTAATTAACCAATCTATCTAATTATTTGACCAATTAGATAATTGAAGGTCCAAAACCCAAAGCTACAAAACTATCATACTTGTGAGAATTCATCAGACAGCAGACAGATTCTGGAAGAGAAAAGATGTAGCAATTTCCATCAGCAGAGTCGCCCAAGCGAATCTGGCTGGCTAGGGTTTGAGAATGACTTTAGTATTGTAATCTATACTATGCTTGTATCTATGTATTCAGCTATGATATATAAAATGTAAAAACGAACTGTTGCATTGTTATAATTAACTGGGAAAACAGTAAGAAGTAAATACACAACGTGAAGGGAAAGCAAAGACGATCACAAGGCTACTAAGATATGTATAAAGAAAGATGCATGGGTCGTACGTAGGAAATGGCAACTGGATTGGGTTCCCCGCTCTCCACGTCTGACAGAAGACACATAGTGCTACATTTGTTCATAATCAAAGAAATCCGTTTAAGAAAATAGGAAGGTTCAGACAGTAGCTAGTACAAATATGGACACTAGCACATCAATTTAATCGATCAGTTGTCAAATCTCTGTACAACCCTGGTAAGCGATCTACCGACCCCGCCAAAAGGCCGACCTTGGTAACCCCTCCAATTTGTAACCATTGAAATCCAGTTGGGGTTTCGGAATAGTATCAATAAAAGCCTGCCATGTGAGTCCAGTCAGCCTGAGGAGTTCAATATGAACAAAACTAGTCACTGACACCTCTGACAACCAGTTCTTCCTAGCCACTCTTATCTCTTAACACAATTTACAAAGCCGTGAACAATAACAATGTCTTGACTTACCAGAATGGGAGAGAATAAATGGGTGTTAACTTCCTACTTTTCTCATGGATAGAATAACATCATGTATATATTTTCTTCTGGCTTACACACTATTTATTGGAAAATTACAGTATGTACTATATAAACACAAGCATAAATATTTTTCTCATTCCTGTTTTGTAGGCTGTTCATAATGGAGTGAATGTTTTAGTACATTGTTCTGATGGGTGGGACAGAACAGCTCAGACTTGTTCATTAGCTGGTCTTATGCTGGATCCTTATTATAGAACTATTCAAGGGTTTCAGGTATGTTTAACATGAGAGCTGTGGATGTAGTATGGTGTCGCCCCTGTCCCTTCGGACGTCCTTTTAAAATGAACCCTCCATTTTATGCAAATAGTTGCAAAGCATGAAATACATACCATGGTTATATATAGTCCTAATCTAAAGGCCACAATTTTTGTCCGATTTAGATGAAAGTTAACATATTATGTTAAGGATGAAAAGATCTTGAAAGAGTTCAATTTTGGTCCCTGCATTTTACACAAAATTTGAAATATATACAATGTTTGTGGACCCTCTACAGAGCCAACAGTTTTGTCTGATCAAGATAAAACTTAAGATATATGTTAAAGGTGAGGTAAAGTATCACCATCTTGTTGCAAACTAGTCTCAACACCAACAAGGCTAAACATATTACTTTCCAACACAGAATAGCGACCCTTGGATACAAACGTCCATAATATAATATATTACTCACAATACATTTTTCTGTTGTTAATACCCTGTGTGTTATCATGTGAGCGAAAATTTCAATTTCATCACTTTCTTGCTCAATCAAATTGCGGTTACACCTACAGATAAAACGATAAAAAAGTTAATACTCTAAATCAATGTAATGCAGATTTTCGTTGTGCCTTCCTGTTTATATGCCCACATTGAAATGTGGTCGTACATTGTCGTAACCTCGGTCCGGTATCCACAAGCAAAAGTTAACATCCGATTGACTATAGATTTATACATACTGTTTAAGGTCATGAGATGAAGAAGCTTATTGATTTTCAACAATTTCAAATACTTACTGCCAGAGTTATGGCCCTTAATCGCTTTGAAAAATCTTGTGGACGCTCTAGAGGCTAAATTGAATATCCATTTGACTTGAAATTTATACAAAGTATTTAAGGTCATGAGACGAAGAAGCCTATTGATTTTCAGCGATTTCTAATTATTACCGCCAAAGTTATGGGCCCCTTCACTTTAAATTTATACACAGTGTTTAAGGCCATGAGAAGAGGAAGTTTTTTGATTTTCAGCGATTTCCGATAATTATGGCCCATGATATTAAATGTTTTGTATGCTAATGTTGGTATAGGGCAGAACCAAAAGCCAAATGGATTGTTACTCATAATTAGATTTTAGTGTGTTTTCATTACTGACAAATGTTACTAATTGGATTTAAATTTGTTATTTTGCAGGCATTGATCGAGAAAGAATGGCTTTCTTTTGGTCACAAATTTACAGATCGATGTGGATATCTGAATACTGTTGACAGCAAAGAGATATCTCCAGTTTTTACACAGTTTTTAGAGAGTGTATGGCAACTGTCTCAACAATACCCTTGTGCATTCCAATTTAATGAAAGATTTCTTATAGCTATCCATGATCATGTGTATTCATGTCAGTTTGGAACATTTATTGGCAACTGTGAAAAAGACAGAATAGATTTACGGTACAGTATTTTATTAGGCTTGTCCAAGTAATTAAAGATGCATTATATTATATTTAAAATACATAATGGAAAATGAAAATATTTAAAATTTCAATCAAATTACTTTATTTTGAACAAAGTTAAGAATATTTCAAGTTTGTACGAAAAATCATGTTTTTTTTTTTGTCCAATTTAGATGAAACTTAAAATTTCTGTTAAGAATCATAAGGTCTTGGATGAGTTTGATTTAATGTGCAGCTGACCATCCGTTCTGGGGCTTGCCCTTTGCCTTTTACTCAGAATGCAAAATATCCCCCCCCCCCCTTGTGAACACTCTACAGACTACATTTTAATTTCTTCTACTGTTATGGCCCTTGTTTCACTTTGTTCACACACGCACGCACGCACGCACACACACCCATACGTGTTTATGGTCCTTTTCGAGGACATCGGTATAAATATACCAAATTGAGGACAGCGTTTAAAACAATATTTCGATGAAATGGTTAACAATTTTAGAATATAAATTCAATTCTTTATCCATATTTGCTACACTATATCCCCTCCGACTGTTTTTAAGAATGAGAATTTTTCTTCTATAAGAGAGGACACACAAAGATGATTTTGCGCATGTCACACGTGACTCACGCTCGGAAACCGAGGACCCTTTATCAACACCGTCTATTGAGGACACACACTTGCATTAGATGTCGGCCCCCCTTATTGAGGACCTTTTGTCACACGTGACTCACACTCGGAAACCGAGGACCCTTTATCAACACCGTCTATTGAGGACACACACTTGCATTAGATGTCGGCCCCCCTTATCGAAGACCCTTTGTTTTAAGCATGTAATTTAAGACACCTGATTATGGTCTTCATAATGTAACAGAAACCGATATGTATTTGTTACTGACTATAAGAAACACCATGTACCAATCACTTACATTAACTGTCCTCGATTATGGGGGCCGACACTTAATGATAGTGTGTATGACCAGATAAGTATGAACCTATAAATCGAGGACTCGTGAAGGGAATTTGAATAACTGGTAATGTGAAAATCAATAAATGTTAACAAATATTCATAAATATGTCTATCATCAAACATCTGTATGTGTGAAAGGACCTCAATTGATAGGTGTATGTTTATATGACAGACCTTGATGACACACATGCATTAGGAGTCGGTCCCCATTATCGAGGACCTTTGAATTTAAGTACGTAATTTAAAACCTGATTATACGCTGTCGTCCTTAACAAAAACGGAAATATTTCTTAATGGTAATAAGAAACGCCTTGTATCAATCATTTAGGATAGAACGTGGCGCATACTTTACAGTAACTGTCCTCGATTTTGGGGACCGAAACTTGATGCAAATGTGTATGAGCATATAAGCCTGAGCGTATGAATCGAGGACCTAGACACACGTCTAATAATAGATTGTATTTTGGACATATGAACAAAGAGTTATCGTATGTTATTCAAAAATTTTGCGTAACTTATTGGTGTTTGTACTGTACATTCTAATTGAGTGCAACAATGCGTTGTCTCCCCTTAGACCACAGAATCCTCTCGTTTTGTTTACAAATTATACCAGAATGTTATAACTTAAAATGTAGGAACCAGTCAAATAGAGGACGTGTAAATGTATAATAGTATGTAATCGATGACTTCAAAATTATTTCAAAGAGGGGCATACCTAGGTATACTGTGCATCTGTTTATAAATATCGAAACATGTCTGCATCTGCTATTGACTGTAACTGTGACATGACATGTAACTGTTAAGAATTCTAAGATACTGCTGACAGCCGTTACTGACTGTAAGACCCGTATCTACTTTTGTAACAATTATGCCTTATAAAACAACACGTACCAAAAGTTATACATGTCATGCATCTGTTACTGATGGTACGATAACACATGTATATAATATGTTCCTGTAAGACACCACCACATGTATATGTTCTTGTAGGACACTACATGCATATGTTTCTGAAAGACACCACATGTATCTGTTACTGGCTTTGACGCAAAGCATCTAATGTGTATGCTGCTGATTGTAAGACCACCTGTGTATCTATGAATTACGATGCCCTATGTATCCTTTACTGTAAGCCACCATGTTATATGCTACTAACTTCAAGACACGGCATGTATATATTGATAAGACACCTTGCTTGTGTATCTGTTACTTAAAGACACACGTTTCTGTTACTGACAGTTATACACGATATGTATCTGATTTGTGACGCACCTTGTATCTTACTGTAAGACGCCGTGTGTAACAGTTGCTAACTTTAAAACGCAGTATCCTTCTATTATCAAAACCCAAAACATGTTTATGTTACTGAATGTAAGACACCCCCGTGTATCTGTTATTGACCGCTATAGACGATGTCTGTCTATTACTAGCAGTTATGCACGAGGTGTACATGTATCTATTACTGATCAAAGATACCCTGTGTATCTCTTACTGACAGCTATCTATACACAGGTGTATCTATTACTGATTAACGATCCTCAGTGTATCTGTTATCTATTACTGATTAAAGATATCCCGTGTGCCTGTTACTGACATTAATCTATACACGATGTGAATAAATTACTGATTATTTCAGTGCATCTGTTACTGGAATAGACTGTGTGTAACTGTTACAGACTGTAAGACAAACCGTATTGATAAGCTATCATGTGAGCCTGTTACACTATGTATACTTGTCATTGACACGGCATGTACCTGTTACTAATAATTGTAAGATGGTACCGGAGTTATATGATTGTAAGACACCCTGTGTACTTGTATCCGTTACTATCCATACAACACAACATGTATCTGTTAATAACAGTACGACACAATATGTATCTATTACTAAATGTACGACGCAGCATGCGTCCATTATTAAATGTACGGAATGGCATGATTCAAATCTAAATGTACGACACAACATGTATCTATTACTAAATGCATGACACTATATGTATCTATTACGAAATGTACAACGCAATATGCATCTATTACTAAATGTACAACAAGATATGTATATATTACTAAATGTACAATGCAATATGCATCTATTACTAAATGTACAACACGATATGTATCTATTACTAAATCTATGACATGACATGTATCTGTTACTAAGTGTATGACATGTATCTATTACTAAAAGTACGACATGATATGTATCTATTATTAAATGTATGACACGAAATGTATCCATTAATAAATGTACGAAACAACATGTTTATATCACTAAAGATACGAAACAACATTACATGGACGAAACAAAATGTGTCTGCTGCATTTACGACACATCGCATTTTACTGACTCTTGGACATGGCTAGTGTTTTATTGACTGTAATATGTGACAAATATTTCTAACTGTAAGACACGATTATCGTAACATGTATTTGTTACTGATCATAAGAGACTTTATCAATGAAGTATATTGGAACGTGACATAATGTCCTCGATTATGGGGACCGACACTTAATGCAAGTGTGAATGACCTGATAAGCACGAACCTTTGAATTGAGGACTCAAACACACGTCTATTAATATATTGTATTTTGAACAGTGAAGGGATATTTACCTCAACCAGTGGTGGACAAAGAAAGAAGTATATCTATAAATGTATTAGATAACTGGTATTATGAAATGCGATAAACATTAACAAATGATTTCAATTGCCTATCATTAAATTTATGTGTGTGTCAATGGACCTCGATTGATAGGTTTATGTGTATGAAATAGATCCGGATCACACACATGCATTAGTCGTCGGTCCCCATTATTGAGGACCATTGAATTCAGGTACGTAATTTACAACCGCTGATTATTTTCTATCTTCTATATCAAAAACAGAAATGTTTCTTAATGAGAATTAGATAAAAAGCCATGTATCAATCACTTAAAATGGAAAGTGGCATACACTTTACATTAACTGTCCTCGATTATGGGGACCGACACTTGATGCAAGTGTGTATGGTCATATAAGCCTGAACCTATTGGACCGAGGACGTGAACACACTTCTAATAATAGATTGTTTTTTGTAAAAGGGAGTCATGACATGTATTTGAAAACTTTCTAAAGTTATTGATGTTGGTACTGTACATTCTAATTGAGTGCAACAATGCATTGTCTCCCCTTAGACCACATAATTCTCTCATTTTGTTCACAAATTATATCGGAATGTTATAACTTAAATTGTAGGAATCTGTCAAATAGAGGACGTGTAAATGTATAATAGTATGTAATTGATGACTTAAAATGTATGAACCTGTCAAACAGATGAGGTTTAATTTTATAAAAGCATATATTCGACGACTTCAAAATTCTTTTAAAGAGGTCTATTTTGAATCTATATATTCTTTTAAAGAGGTCTATTTTGAATCTATATATTCGATGACTTCAAAATTCTTTTAAAGAGGTATATTTTGAATCTATTTTGAATTCTTTTAAAGGGGTATACTTTGCATCTTATAAGCCACCGCATGTATCAAAGGATGGTTTGTTTCTGACTTTTAGACAAAACATGCATCTATTACTAAGACCCAAAGCATATATATGTTAGGGATTGTAAGACATAAAGTGTATATGTTACTGACTGTAAGATAATTACACAGGACATGTGTCTATTACTGATTAAGACGTACAGTGTGTCCATTATTCTAAGACGTCGTCTTTATCTGTTACCGACTATAAGACACAGCATGTATCTATTGATAAGACACCCGCGTCTTTGTTATTGACTTTCAGACACGACCCAACACAGCTGTTACTGAATGTAAGACACGGCAGTGTCTATTGATAAAACTTATTGCTGGGTTGAATCTGTTACTGACTTTAAGTCACGCATATGGTTGTTTCTAACACCCATATCCAATACAGTCGACTTAAGCCCCTTTGAAATGTGTATGAGCATGCATCTAGATTGTGATCACCTTAACACGCACATGCATTGAGTATAGGCCCCAAGTATAGACGACATATGAATTTAACTAAACAACGAA